GATTAAGTTCGTAACTAGAGGTACCACTGTATATGGTCCACCTTCCCTTAAGCTCTCAGAGCAGAGAGATACAAACATTGTATTATGTCATGCTCCAACATATGGGGTTTTTAAATGTTTTTCACTCCCTTGAATAGGGCAGGGAGAATTTTCTATTTTTACAGAGAGGATATCCTGTGTGGTATTTTTCAGTTAGTGACCATCAGGAGACACTATGTGACCGGTTTTGTCCAATAAGGACAAAACCTATCATGTGGTGTCTCCTGGTGGTCATTGTAACCAAACAGCAATACAGGTAGTCCTTGTTTAATGACCGCTCGTTTAACAATGGTTTGAAGTTACAACTGCCTTGGAAAGGATGCTTTACAGCCTGTAAAGTATTTCCTGTCTTAAAATGTCGCACCGCCCCCTTGCAGTCACATGGCCACACTTTGGATGCTTGGCAACCGGCTCGCATCTTCAGGAGTTGAGCTCCATTCCTACCCACCACTAAGGGGTTTTCTGTCCCCACTCGGTGGTGGGTAGGAACGGAGCTCAAATCTTTAGATCTTCAGGATCTGAGCTCTGTTCCTTGCCATCACCAAGGAGTTTCCCCTCCCCACTCTTCAGGATGTGAGCTCTGTCTCTTCCCACCACCAAGGGGTTTCTCCGCCCCACTCAGTGGTGGGTAGGAACAGAGCTCAAATCTTCAGGACTTGAGCTCCGTTCCTACCCACCGCCAAGGGATTTCCCTTCCCCACTCAGCGGTGGGTAAGAACAGAGCTCAAATCTTCAGGAGTGCCTGGATTGCAGTCATTGAATGAAGCAGTCATGTGGGCGTCTCACTTAACTACTGCTTTGCTCAATGACCGAGATTCCGGTCCCAATTGTGGTTGTTAGGCAAGGACTACCTATAGTTACCTCTTCCATTTTGTCAAAGGATTCTTCCTTGGAGTCTCCCACAGGCAGAATAAGCATTTCTGCCCAAGCAAGGCAAATTTAAAATTAAAGTTTTGTGTGAATAAAGCTTATGAATGAATAAAAAAGATTTTCAGTATTTTAGCTGAATTTCTTTCCCCAGGATATTTAAGTCATACTACATACATACATACATACATACATACATATATCAGTTCAGTAGTGATGACAGCTACTAGTTTATTAAGCTATTTTAGGGAAAGTTTAATCCCAGTAGTTTCCAAAATTAACTTAAATTTGCTTATCCAGTTAAGGGGGGAAATGTGAAACAAGTGGCTGTGAATGTACAAATATGCAGAGACATGCAAATGGTTTAATGACTCTGATTTAATTATTCAAAAGATGTTCTATACTCTGTCTATTGTATTCCTAAGCACCACTTTTGAAGGATTTACCCTGCCCTATTGTCAACTGACTGGATAATAATGTGTTGGAGTCAGGTTGTCTCTAGCATTCAGGAACAATATTAACAAAATGTTGAGAACTAAGAGTATTCTTAAGTACCCCAGAAAACAAGAGAAGAAAGAAAATGAAATTCAGGAAAAAACTCTAGAGGACCATAGAGATAGCCTTGAAGAAAATATACAGCAGTGATTATGAAAATTGATTAAATAAATACATACATACATACATAAAACATCAGCTAAGCCCAGGAAAACAGGAAGGGGTGAGGAAGAAACTCAAGACATGTTGACTCTCTTGGGCATAAGAGGGAGGGAGGGAAAGGGAAATACTATCAGGCTTCCAAGTTTCTATTGTTATAGCCTATGTCAGCAGAATTCCAATATTTCTTGTGTTGTCTGTTTCCTGACCTGGCTCCCTCTCTGATTCTTAGTGGAGGAAATTAAGCATAGGACAAAAGAGTAATGCTGGCAGATGAAAGAGAGGCAGAGAAGTACTTGATTGCCTCCAGTGCAGCCTTCAGGTAGGCCTCACTCTATACACCATCTGATCTGCCTAGAAAATTCCTTCTCTTATGCTCCAACTGATATCCTATCTACTTCATTGCTCTCAGCTCCCTAGTGAGAGCGGTGAAAAGGGGGTCAGGCACAGGACACTGTATGAGAACTTTATCTGAATGAGACAGCAGCAACCAGTGATCTTTGCAGCGGCTTGCTCTCTCTCTCTCTCTCTCAGTCACATGTTCACTTAGTGACCGTTTCACTTAATGATCAAGTAAGAACCAATTGCAATCACTAAATGAGGACTACCTGTACTAATATTTAAAGCAGAATATAACTATGAATATCAACTATATTACCTAACATTTTAAATATGTGTTTCAATTATACCTGGACCTCATAAGATATAAAACCAAAACCCAGAGATTTCATCTATCAGGTTGTGCTGAAATGTCTACATAAATCATGAAAGACAGCTTCTCTGATGATGGAAATATAGCATTATGCTTTCATAAGAACTATTCCTCTTCCCAAGATAAATAAAACATAAAAAGGAAATTTTAATTGCATACAAAGGTGACTGCTTCCCTGTCTGGAAAGTACAAACAAGGCATTGCACAGAACATGAAGAGAACTAAGATATTTTAATCTATATTTGAAGAGAACAAAGGTATTCTGAGATTTCAATTATTCTCTCTGCTGTAGAAAGTATATCAACAAATTTTGGGTAACTCAACTAAAGAGATGACTTCCCTACCAGGCTCTATTATTTCCCCCAGGAGCTTGACTGTTTCCTAGGGGCAGTAACTATGCTAGAAAACAGACTAACAACTGCACCAGAATGCCAATAAAACTGAGGTACTCTGCATAGATGGTTGACAACCCCAGGAATCTTCTCCTGGATGATGTAGAACTTCCTCTGAAGAAACAGATGCATAGCTCAGGGTGGTGATAGTGGCTGCTTTTTTATTCCAATCTGTCACTAGAATCACAGCCAGTTTCTGTGTCAAGAATGGTCTATATCAGGTTTTGGCTGGTGCAACTATTATGGTCTCATCTACACTGGGACAGGGTAATTTTAGTCATCCATACCCTAATAACCTCATTACTAGAATAAAGCAATGCAACTAGATGGAACTACCTTTCTAGATGGTCTGGCAGCTGCAGCTGATGCAGAATAGAGCTGCCAATTAAATGCCATATTACATTAGTCTTATTTTATTTATTACTTACATTACTATGCTGCCCAGTTCATTCTAGATTCTAGGCAGCACTGCTTCCCATGTGCTGTCGGGTCCAATTTAAAGTTTTGACATAAAGGCAATGTTGGGCTCCAGGGTTTAGTGACCATGGTTATTAAACCCTGAAGCCCAACACTGCCCATCAGATACTGTCCATGAAAGCTTACACCAGTATTCTGACATAAATCTACAAAGTCATAAATACAAAGAACCCAATTATTTGAAAAGGTGCCTCCAACACTATTTAAGCCATATGATAAGATCAGTTAGAAAACACTTATAAAAGAATCATAATTACAGTTCATTGTAATGTGATCTGCACAGGGCCAACTGGAAAATGAAAATACAGAATCCCCAAATTTAGCACCTAGTTAATTACAAAACTGCCCAAAGCTAGTCTCTGAATTCTTCCAGGAATAAACCACAACCTTTGATCAGACATGCTAGAGTGACTTTAATGAGAGAAACTGCAGCAAAATGCAAACACAATCAGTATAATTCACCAACTATTAAGCATTCTATTGTCAATCTAATTACACATTTCATTTTTTAAGTTTTAAACTTTTGGAAAATAAGTTCAGAAACACACTAGTAAATCCAATATTTCATTGAACAGGCTCAATAAGCAGAACTTCATTAGCAAAATGAAAAAAAAATAGTAATTCAAGGGTTGAATAAAATTTCCCTTAATTCTTACACGTTAATTCTATAGTTTCATAGTTCTAAAACAAAGTAGAACTCACCCGTATGTAAGCATTCTGAATTTCAGCCAATTCTTTCCCAAGTGGAACAACACATTTTTCAACCCGTCGCTCATAAGAATAAGGCTGAATATCAGGAGAATCTTCAGAGCAAAGTTCTATGTGTGAAATTAACAGGTTGGTAATAACTTGCTGCACAGCCTGTGAAGAAGTGCAAAGAAGTTGTTATGCCTCTGTATCTTGCTTAGGCTCATGTTAGCATAGTAAAAATCAGACATATCTGCATATAGAGTTTCAGACAGTTAAATTATTTTAGATACTTATTATCCTTTCCTAATCTTCACAGTCTGTTTTGTAAATCTTATAGAAGGGCAAGACAGAATGAGGGAAGAATTCACTTAGGCCTGTCGGGTTTATAACACGTGCATGAAGAAGCAGACAGGATTACTTGACATAAATTTCCAAAATCAAGCTGGCTATGGATGTATGATTTTTAAATTTTAAAAATATGTTGGGATAAACTTGTGAGTGTATTGCTTTTAAGTTGATTTTAAAAGCTTTTTCCTCAAAACCGGCAAAATATAAAAAATATTTTTACCCCAGACATAAACACTGTGGATGTCACATTCGCAACGTGAACCTGTAGAAGATCCCAGTGGCTTCCAATATTTAACTAATGGCATCTATTACAGTTTTTGCCAGTTCCATTCTGTCAGTTTAAACCTCAGCTAATAAAGAAACTGTACAATAGAAGGAAACAACTTTACAGAACTGAGACATGCATTCAAGTACAGCAACTGTTTTAAAAACCAAGACAGATAATATATGATTACTAAGAAAATCTGGGTCGCTGAACAAAAGGAATTGACTCACCTTTGCATCACTGCCAGGAGTTGCACTCAGAGCCAAGACTCGAAACTCTTTAGTATACTTGCATAATTCTTTCACAACCTGAAGGGAGAATAACTTTAATCACCACTAAGTTTGTTCTATTACATCCAAAATAATTCTAATAAAATCCAAAATATGAACAAGGCAGACTCTGACTCCCAAATAATAGCATCTAACAAATAAACCAAAATCCAGCTTGAGTAAAATACATTTGTATCTCGGTGAGGTGTAAGCCTGTATTTGCAAACTTCTGCTCCTAGAACAGGGTTGGATAAACCCAAAGGCAAACTCCCCAGCACCATGAGACAGCATGGTTGAAACTAAACTGCAGCGTGGCCAGCTTTCACAGGTTAAAAAATTCATTTCCACACTTTGCTGTGATGGCTCATACCTGAGATTCTCCTCCCGCCCTAGGGCAAGCTAATAAATTTCCTTATGCTTGCCCAATGTCAACTCGGGAAGTTGATGTCAAGTAGGAAATAGTCTCTAATCCTGTCCAGCTGGTGGAACAATATAAGGCAACAAATAACAAATATTTCCAAAACCAACTGTCCCAGATCAATGTAGGGTACAACAAATAGCACTATTCAGATCAGGATTGCTATACTGTGCATTTCTTCCCACCAAGAGCTCTTTTTATGACAGAATCTGCATTGGGTTTAGTAAAACTGCCTTCTTTCTTAAGTGTCAGTGATGGGATTAAGAGCAGAGTTCCTTCAAGGCAATTGAGCTCACTATCATATACTGTATGTGAATTGGTAAATACTTCCCAGAAAGTACTTAAGAGTTATCAGAGATCAAAATTCCTTTCTTACTTTATGCACGTAGGCAGATCGTATCAGCCTGCTCAGACTCCTGACAGGAGCAATTGCTCTATATTCAAAAATCTCTTTGTACAGTATGTCTTTGCTTTAGTTTACTGGACATACTTAAGAATTTTTAAACTTATTCCATCAAACATCCATGGGGACCAATGTCTCTGTAAGGCAGGATTATCAAAGTTTGTGATACTGCACACCCAAAGAATGATAAATGTCATCCCACCAACAGAAATAAATTATTTCATTATGATTAGGGTTCATCAAATAACAAACATATAACTTACTTTTATTATGATAATATCCCAAGGTTTTCCAAACTTTGTGGTACCAAATGCCCACTATAGGCTTGCACAGACAAAACGTCAGCATGCTACAGAAAATATGTACTGGCAAGGCAGGAAGCAAAGCCTGGAGTGATTTTTCGACAACACTCCCATAATCCAAGTCTGATTAGGGTTTTGGGGTTTTTTAGGTAATCTCTAAGCTTGTTATGGCTACTTGGGGAGGTTATGACTCACACTTTGAAAACCTCTTCTCTAGAGTCTTAAACCTATAGTATAATTTCTATACTATATAGTGTAGTAAATAGATGGACATAGTTAAAATATCTGGAATATGTGCACAATGTCTTCTTTAAAAAGAAATTCTGTTTCTTCCTGGAGATCTAAGAACCACAGAGAGTTTATAACTCAAACATTCCACATTTTATGGATGATTTCATTTTAAAAGATGAGGTAGACAGCATGTCTTCTGTCAAAATAGCTGTTGGCTTCTTTTTCCCAGGAATCTTTTCATTTCATTGGCCTATGGCCAAATGCTTTTTCTTGAAATTTGTCTATATTTTCTTTGCTAACATTCTTATCCAAATTATATTATTTATATGATGCCTGTTCTGTTATACTGAAGAGAAATATAGAAAAAAGTAGAAAAAGTGGATTAATCCTAAACCAATTAAAAAGAATTTGGAAAGAAGTTAAAAAATGAAATAGAAAAGTAGTGCATTCTTGTGGCTTGCTGGCAATCTTTTAATTTACAGATAAAATTAAGCCGCCCAGAGTCCCCCATTGGGGGGAGATGGGCGGGGACAAGATAGATAGATAGATAGATAGATAGATAGATAGATAGATAGACAGACAGACAGACAGACAGACAGAACCAATTTCAGATTTTCTACTTATAACTCATATAAGCTATAAGATTTTCTACTTATGAGATTTAATGTTACAGTGGCAAAAATAAATCTATCATATTTCTTTGTTTTTTACATATATTTAATGGTGTCATGCCTGTTGGATGAAAAGTGGAATTTTTCAACTCTCATCCCAGAAATCCTGTTTCTTGCTGCAAAGGAATCCTATTTCTTTTTCAGTACATACAGTGAAAAGTCAATATAAAAATACTACTCTAATTCAGTTCAAAATAGCCAAATGAGGTTCTAAAGTACTCATCAACAGCTGGGACTTGTTTAACCAGCATTTAGAGCAGTGGTGGGCAGCCTACAGTTCTTGAAATTTCAAAATTCCTGTTTAGTAAATCAGTTCAAATTTATAGAAAGAGCTAACTGTCCTTTCCCTCCAATCTGCTGCTTGGGAGAGAAAGAACAGAAGAGGGAAAGAATGGATGCCTTCATTGATTTTTGGCTCTGGCCACACTCACTGTTTCCTCCAGTCTAATGTGTGCTCCTCGACAGATTGCTTTTTAAAAAATAATCTATTCAACTATATAGGACAGAGTATCAGCTTGTACAATCTACAATACCTGACAATATGCATGATTTCCAAGAGCTTTGTGGGCTTCATCAATAACCAGGCATTTAATTTCTGCTGCTGGACATGTTCCACGAGAAAGATCATTTGCCATTATTTGAGGAGTAAGAAAGAAGACTCTTTTGGTGCGCCAGATTTCTTTCCGATCAAAAATTTGGGTACCTCCTGAAAAAGGTGAGCAAAATCTGTAGTAATGTCTAAACATACATAGCACAGCCATTTCACCGGCAATTCATGAAATATATATTCTAGCAGAGTTTACATTAAATGCATTCTTATACTTCAAAAATCAGCGTATAGGTTCCTACACTGCTAGCCAGAAAAACATTTTTAAGTTACAGCATTTCAGAATAAAAAAGAAAACTTGCTCTATCCCATTTTAAATAGAATGATAGTACTGAAAATGGGAAATTACTTGCATTTTGCATGAAGTACCAGTCAGTGATCATGAATATTGTCACAGATCAAATTGAGATTTAATTGCACTATTTTTTTCCAAACTAAAGCCCACCAAATGTGTTGGACTACAAATCACCTAATGGTTGCACAAGCTTGCAAAACAGAAACTGCAATTCAAAGCCTGGGCAAGATTGCTTTATTGCAAGGCATCTTGGCTGTGTTTGGGTACTAGAAGCATACATATTTATACATATATACACACTCTATCTTGTAAACAAAATATTCAAGGTAGTCAGGGTCCAATCCTCTACCCGCTTTAAGCATGTAGAGCAGTGGTTCTTAAACTGGGGTAATTACCCCAAGGAGGTAATTTGGGCATATCCTCTGGGTAATGGAGCAATTTCTAATTGCTTCTTTGTGATTCAAGGATCCAGTTTGGGACTGCCCCTGCCAAAACACTTGAGTAAAACAACAGAGTCAGGTTGTAATTCCAGGTATCAGTTTTGTACAGAAGGATGGATTTTGCAAATAAGTACCTAACATTTAAAAAATAAATTAACAAGGATCTGCCTGCTGCTCCAAAAAGTTAGCACAATTGTTCTTCAATTTATTCTGTATATTTGAGAAATATACACAACTTTTTTTTAAAAAAAACCAAGGTTGCTGAATAAAGTACATCATGAAATTAACAGCCCAACCATAGTATATATGCAATGCCAGCCTCATCAACAGAAATTGGGCTGCTTGGAAATGGTTCTGACAAATCATGACATCAATCCAACCGCAACTGGGCACGTAAAAAGGAAAAATTCCTTTCAGTCCAACTCCACTACTGGTCCTTTTATTCGGAAACAAGGAGTGCCCTTGTCTTATTCTGGAACTTCTTTTCAACTTCACAACCTGGCCTACAGCCCCGATCACTATCGCTTCCCACCCAAGCACTGACCACATCCTGCTTAACTTTTCACGGGAGCAAAGACACGAGCTCCTCTCCGCGAGCAGGCGGCTCACGCAAAACAGCGCGTTCGCGGGCACGTGCAGGGCGTGACCAAGCACCCACCCGTCATCTCGGCCATGTGCGCGGCGGGGATGCCTAGGAGGCGGGCGCACGCCTCCCGTTGCTGAGCCACTAACGGCTTGGTCGGGGCCAGGAAGAGGATCTTGCCGCCGGGGAACCACCGGTAGAAATTGTACATGACCACGGCGGCCACCAGGGTTTTGCCCAGCCCGGTCGGCAGGCAGAGCAGCGTGTTGGCGAGGAGCGCCTCCCGTGCCGCTCGAACCTGGTAGGCGCGCTCTTCGACGCGCCCGCCAGACGGGAATATCCACAGAGCGCCCGGCGCGCCGCCAATAAATCCCCGGGCACCGGAACCGCCTGGCGGAGAGAGCCAGGACGCCGACTCCGCTGCCTCGGCCTCCGTGGCCGCCGCCAGCAGCGCCGCCTCTTCCTCCTCCTCCTCCTCCTCCTCTTCCACCGCCGGCACAGGAGTAGGCTGCGCTCCCCATGCTTGGAAGAGCGTGGCCTGCCGGCTTTTGCCTTTCATTTCACCAGCGCCTCCGCCGCCTTCCCGCTGCGCTCACGCAACTGCCCTCAGTCGGTAGCGACGCCATCTTGACGGCCATCGAAAACCCCGCCGCCTTCGAGAAGGCCCCTGATTGGCCGGGCCCAAGATCACGTGCTCCCTTGTCTCCCTCTCCATCGCTACCACAGAAGGGGGTTCTGACAAGGGAGGTAGCGACTTTTCTACCATTTATTATTGAAACGCCTGCAGACATGCAAACGAGTCGCCTCCAAGGCTCTCCTGAAGAACAGCTAGGAAGATCAGACACGAGCATTTGGTTTTAAATCTCCATTTCTGAAAATACACAATCCAGCTGTTAACATCTATTCTATCTTAAACGTCTTAACTCTGAATCGGGCAAGGCTTGACAGAAGTCAAAGCAGGAGCGGACTACGCTTCCCAGCATAGCTTGCGGAGATAGAAGATAGAAGTGGGATTTTTAGAGGGAGCAATCAACTCTCGAGGAGACTACAATACCCAGCATGCATCAGGAGTTGCTCCGTCGACCTGGTTTTTGCGTCATCCCAATTACGTGGCAGCAGCCAAGCTTCGGCTTGCCCAGATAGGACTACGCTACCCAGCATGCCCAACAGGAAGGGACGAACGGAACCGCATTGGGACGGAGGTCGTGGGGCGCGCCAAGGAGTGTTGTGGGTGTGTGAGGGGCGGCTGAGGTGCTGAAGAGTTCCCGGACCTGATCCGAGCGGGCGCCCGCGTGAGGCGATTCCATGGCGGACCGCGCGCGCCCTTGGAGTCTGGAGGAGCTGCGGAGCGACGCGCTGCCCAAACGGGAGATTATCCACTTTCTGCAGGAGCAAGCGGCACACAGGGTGGGGGCCGGAGGCGCGATCTGACGGGTGGGCAGACTCCATTCACACATTCATGCGGGGTAGGATGGACACGTGTCGCCGCCGGGCTTTAATTTGGCCAGGAGATGTGTGCGAAGTTGCGAGGTCCCATCCTCCCCTGCCTTTTTTGTCCTCGTTTCGTCCCCCATTTTCCCTTGGTCAAGGCTCCCCATTTCTTAACCCTGTCCGGCCCGTCGGACCAAACCGTATAGATCTCTTCAGACGTGACGAGAACCTTCGGGCGGGGCCGAGTTCTCTTTTTTCCCTTTTTCATCTCACGTGGCTGCGGCAGTCCCCCATGCCAGCTTGGGCTTATCTGAAATGGCCGTAGGGATAGCGGGAAAACAGCCTTTCCACGTCTACGGGGGTTCGTCTGTCGCTTTTCCTTGGACAGGAGAATGAGTGCTTCGGAGGGAGGCGACACCGTTGTAGAAAGACGTTTCTCATTCCCACGTTATACTCTTTCCAGACCTTTGCAGGCGCCGGGATAAATGGCTGACGGAAAACTCGTTTGCGCCGTTATAGAAATCAGTGCTCCCTTACCAAAAAGCTTCTCGTGGAACATGTCTGTACTTAAGTATGAGTGAGAATGAATACATACAAATAGGGCCGTCCAATTATGGCGAAAATGATTTAATGATTTTTTTTTTCGTTCTAAAAGTTTGGGTTCTCTAAGGCCTAGGAACCCATTGGAAAACTCACCAAGCTCTCTGTTTACTATTTGAAGCAGCCTATTTAATAATTATTTTTCAGATGATCAGTTACTTTCTGGCATATGGCCATTGTAGATGCGGTATATCCTTCCTACTGGTTACTTGATAAATACCTGCTTTACTTTGATATTGCATCTAAGGGTCTTAGTTGTTTTTTGTAAAGGTCCTGCAGGCTAGTAATTTAGAGCTCATTCTCTATACAGCTCTCTATATCTAAATGTGAAGGTTTATAATTTTTTAGGTGGTAGGGAAAGCATATACAACTTGAATGAATTTTCAAAGTTATTTAATAGTTCTTGATGTCAATTATGACTATTTATTTCATTTATTCACCCTCCGTTCAGAGAAGCTATTTCTCAGTTTGTTTAGGGCTTATTTATTTGCATATTTATTGCCTGCCTTTTCAGAACATAAAGTGTTCTCATTATGAACTTGGAAACAAAAGGTGTTTACAGGACTATGTTTAAGAAATGAGTCTCCTCTCTGGAATGAGGAAAAATGTCCAGAAACCTCCAGTTCTAGACACATTTGTAGAGACATGCTTTTGAAAGATAATGCAGCAAAAACAAGATGTAAGCCCTGGAGAGTTTTCTGTATGCATTCATCTGATATTATCTGTGATAATTTGAAAGGAATTGCTGGGGGATAAAAAACCTTAATTTTTGAAATTGAAATGATTCAGATGAATTCTTTAAGAATCAAAGAAGGTTTCAGTTTACAGTGCACAGGAGAAAGATACTGTATAACTGAAAGCTTCTTTGGTTCTATTTTTAATTTTAGCTGAAATAGATATGGGCGTGAGATCATAGGCTTGCCTACAGTATATGGAATTTCCCACATGAATGAACCAGCTCCTGAGATTATTGTTTTGAAAACAAATTGTGATTTGTTTTTAAATTTATTTAAAGCTTATCTACAATCTCATGAACTACTTATATTGCAAATGAATTGTATGTTTATCTTCAATAAAATTGGCAGATATGAAAAATGAAGAGAGATGTTTATTCTGAAGAAGAGAATGATATTCTTTTCATTGTGTCTTTTGCTCTTTTTCGGTCTTATAATTGGGTTGTGTTTTGCAGTTTGCTGTGACCACCCTGAAAGGAGTTCTTAGTATAGGAATCCCGGTTCTTGGATTTCAGGATCAATAATTAAATTTATTTGATGCTAGTAGAAATTTCGGATATACTTCAAATTTCCGCACTGTAAAGTGTATATGCCGTTCCAGTTCACTTTGCAGTATAGACAAATTTGGCATTTATTACATAAAGCTGAGCTAACCTTAAGTTTCATTTCTAGTTTCTTGCAGAGCACAAGTTGCTTGGTCAGATAAAAAATGTGGCTAAAACTGCTAGTAAGGATCAGTTAATAACAGCATACAACCAGCTTTTTGAAACAAAGGTAGGTTCCTATCTTATTTAAAATGAGTTATTAATATAGATTTTATGCACAAGTCTTATATTTGCCTTATTTTACCAATGCTTTATTTGTAAACTGAAAATAGATGGTAAGTTCAGTGGATAGATCAGGTACTTTTTCTACAGAAAGTGCTGGGGATCTCTAGTTAAAATGGACCACAGACTTGCTATACTGAGAAAGTTCTTGTCCAAATTCCTAGATATACTGCTTCCAATCAGACTAGGATGAGTATATAAAAATGGTCAAACTAGCTTTCAAAACTCATGTGTTACTTGAATGTTCTCTCTAGAAAGTTATTTTAGTTAAATGTCATCATTTTAGGACATTTAGGACAGGAAGGCCTGGCGCAATATGGTTCATAGGGTCACGAAGAGTCGGACACGACTTAACGACTAAACAACAACAACATCATTTTAACTTGAACTTACTAGATAGTACTCATCCATTTTATATGGGAGACGAATACTGACATTTTAGAGGAAGATTTTAAGATTGCACCAAGAAAACGTTTGTGAAATGGCTTGAACTTTCAAAATATAATAATATTATTAATAATAATAATAATGCTTCTATAATATCCTTAGATCACTAAAATGTACTTTTGCAGAGCTTTAAGGACACAGAGAGTACTGAGCAAGTGGCAGAACAGGTGAAAAATGTCAAGATTGATGAAGGCCAACCCAAAAAGACAAAATCTGAAGAAGTTATTGATGAGGTAAGTTGGGAAATACTTCAGTCATATTTTTTCAATTTCTGGTAGGTGAGTAAAAAAAAAACCATGTACAAATGAGAGAGGGATATAAAAAAATAACAATATGCCTAGCATAGCATAGATATGTAAGAAACAGGTTTAGTTACCTATTGAAAACACTGCTATGATTATAGAAACCGTAGTGCAAAGTAGGTGGTTTATAGCTGTTTAAATATAAATTCATTCACAGTGTGATAATCAAAAGTGTCTGAATTTGAGTGGGTAGTGACTTTGTTTTGCTCATTATATCTTTTAGAGTTCTATTCTGATTTCTGAAATTTTATGTGTATAGGGCAAAATGGTCAACTCAGGCTTGAACACATAATCCTTTTAAAATAAAATATATATGATCAAATATATATGACTTTGAGCTTAATGGTTTATATTGCAATCCTCCATATATATTTTCAGAAATCTCCATTGTAATAAATAGGACACATTTCTGGATATGTATTTGTCAGTTCAGAGTTTTATAATTTTTGGGGACCAGCTGCATAAAGACATTTGCAAAGAATTCTCAGTTAAATTGTGGTTCTAATCTTAACAGAGCTATTAATTAGCAGGTTTCCAGTTGCTAAAAAGATGTGTTTCACATAGAGAAAGATCCCCTCCCCTAGAAGGAGGGACAGAACTCACGTAAAACCTTGTAAAATGTATACTTCTCCAACTGAGAGTGTATGAAAAGGAAGGTGGACTATGTATACCATTCTAAAGATAGACTATACAAAACCTTGAACAACTTTTGTATCTTTGAAATAGTGAGGTTGACTGTTTTGTTTCCTTCCATTTTCAATGCAGGCTTCCCCAAAATATACCAAGTCAATTCTGAAAAGGGGGGATAAAATTAACTTTCCAAAAAAGGGTGATGTTGTTCACTGCTGGTATACAGGAAAGCTGCAAGATGGAACAGTCTTTGACAGTAATATTCAAACAAGTAAGTATTTAGAAAAGATAGCTCTTTTTTAAAAAGCTAGCAAAGCTTTTAAAGGCTCAAGTGGCTTTCATTGAAGCCTTGATGATGGAGCTACAGTCTCTCTCAAAAAATAAATTGGAGTTCAGTAAAACTGTATTGCAAATGCTCTACAATTTGCATTTGTTCAAGCCGGAATGGAGGTTCTTTCTATCTTGGAAAGATGATTTATTGGAGTTCTTGTGAATCAAGTCTGGTCTTCCCTACATTGTATTTCCTACTCACACACAAAGGAGAAAGCAAATACTATATTAAGATTTGAGTTTGTTAAGGGTTTCCCGTTGTTAATCTGATAGATTTGGTTGCAAACTATTCTTTCAGGTTCAAAGAAAAAAAAAGCATCTAAACCATTGAGCTTCAAGGTTGGTGTTGGAAAAGTGATTCGAGGTGTAAGTATGCTAATGTGGGTGCTGAGTGTATCAGGTTCTCATACCCTTTCATTATTAGAAAATAACTGGCCCTGCAGCTGTTAGGCCATCTGTCTGAATTCTTTCAGCAAGAGGAAGCATTGGTATATGGGATCCTGTTAGCCCTTTAGATTCTTTTATCCTGCCAGGAATGAGGGGAGCACACCTTTGGCAGTCTACCCATACTTTTCCTGAATATAAAAATCTTGGACCAGTGTCCAAGTGTCATTAATTGCAGAGGTTTTTGGGGAGGGCTGTGTATCATACGTGTATCATATACTGTATATGATGTATTACATGTTTGTAGCTGTCACTTCTGACACTTTCCTTAGTTCTAGTTTTGGGTTGTAGGAAGATTGTTTACTAGTTCTGTATCTTTCCCAAGGGAGAAAACTGCAATCTTCTGTGATACTGAAATCTCTGGGTTATAAAGGAATTCCTTAAATTAATCTCCTTGTTTAAATCATATAGATAGAATAATAAAAAATGAATTATTGCATTGACAAGAAGTGGTTGAATAAAAGAAAGTAATATAGGTTAAATATTCTATAGGAGTCAATCTCCCTAATCTTTAGATGAATTTTGTAGGCCTGATGAAAATATCTTGTATGTCCTTATTAATACTGTAACCAGAACATGTTTCTCTTCTAATTTTTTAGTGGGACGAAGCCTTACTGACAATGAGCAAAGGGGAAAAGGCTAATTTGGAAATTGAGCCAGAATGGGCTTATGGGAAGAAAGGGCAGCCTGATGCCAAATATCCTTGTGACATTTATCACTATGTAGAGATTGCAAAAATCATTTTTCCTATACAGTGCTGATTAAGAGAGCACACTATTTTTTCCCAGCAGTTTTCCAATGTTGCAGAAGTCACCATTGCTGTCCATTATACTAATAGTGTCTTTATTGACAGATCCATCAGTGGAAAGACCTCTCTATAGATTTGTGGAACAGTGGTGGGTGTGGGTAAGGAGGTAGGATAGAATAAGGCAAAGTTCAGGTGGTAATCTTGGTCCACTCATCTAATGTTGGATGCAAAGCAGAAAGCGGGAAGAAAACATGTCTTTCACTGATTTAATTAGATGTTCTCTTGCTGCCTGATCTTGGTGACTAAGTAATCTTTTACTGGCTGCAGTAATGGTATAATTGGGGAGAGGGAAGAAAGGAGACTCCATAAATTGAAGCAACTAAGAATTAGCAAAGAGGTAGAAAAGGAAAAGTGGACATTGGTGGGTGGTTAGAACATTTTAGATTTTCTAATTTCATGCCTAAATCCTCTAATGGGCATCTGCTTCCAGCAATGTCTAGCTGTTCTTCTGACTATGACAGTACCATGCCTAAAATGGTAACAGTAAGTAGTTCTGTATCAGAGCCCAAGAACCATCTCTGCGTAACTGGTTATTTGTGTCTGAAGAGGAATAGATGGCATTGCCATTTGTAATGGGGAAGAAAACTTAAAAACTTTGAGCAACCTGCTGGATTATGTGTAACACAGAATTTATGAGCATTCGTTACTCAGTTGCCAAAGCTCCAATTTGAGCTATATGCTGAACAAGAATAGCTTGTGAAAGGTCATGTAACTTACAAAACATGACATCAACCTGGAAGTATGGATGCATTTGCAAAACAATATTATATAAGAAATTCCTTAACTTCTATTTCAGGATTCCACCCAATGCAAAACTTTTCTTTGAAGTTGAACTCGTAGATATTGAATGATGGATTGTCTCCTCTTCAGTCTTGAATAATTGTGAAGATACTTCTGATTTCAGGGAAATGCAAATGTGGCCTTTTATCTGATAGATGGAGGAGTCAAAAGCTCTTGTTGCAATTACAGTACAATGTCTGTATAACTAAAAACTAGTTTATATGTGGCTTTGACTGATGTTCTGTAGCAAGATCTCGCAGAAAATGCTGATTTATTAAGCACTTTGTGCTCTCTATGAAAAGAAATTTAAGATCAGGATTCCTGATTTGCTGGGTTATAATTTCCATCCCTTTCAGCCAAATCACCATATACATTTTGTTAATCTATTTTAGTCTTTCTGATTCCACAAGGAATAGCAGATTATATATGCTTAAATCAATAATCTTAATCCTGCAGGCATACATATCAGAATAGCAGGGCATAGAGTGGTTATTTGACTGCATCATAATCAGTCAGATGTACACCATGTTGTATTTCAACAAGAAGGACAGGGTTTGAATGTTCTTACTTTCAAAGCAGATTAACGAAAGAGTAGAGTTAAGAATTTTGGACCAAATATGGACCCTGGCTTCTGCAAAGCATAGTGATACAAGCCTTACATGCAAAGTTTGAAAATCAATGCAGAAAGGAAACTTGGAACTGAATAGCAGTACAGCTGAAACCGCCAGAAAGAAGCCATGATCCAAAATAAATTTAACAGCCCCTCAGTGGTTCAACAGGAAAAACTACTGTTCAGAAAGATTACACAATTTGATTTTATTACAAAAAGGCATTTTAAACAAAAAACTAAACTTACACATGAAAATTCCAATACAAAATCCATCCTAAGACACAGCATGGTTCTAGTAACACACTTCATTTTAGTCACTCGAAGAGATACCCTATACATTATATATCCCAATCTGTTAACATTTTTCTAAAAGCTCACAGCTTTTGGATGCTGCAATTGTAAACTGGTAAAACCAAACAGATGCAGGAAAAGGGGTGTGGGACTTTGAAAAGATTCAAGCACACTTTACCTCAGAAGAGAAGGAAAGTGTTATCTCCTGGCCTGGGTAGTATCTGAGATTGCTGGGGCAGATTTTGGCCAGTATTTAATACATGTTAATGGCTTGCAAATTAACTTTCCCAATGAATCATCAACACTACTTCATATAATTGCTCAATAATTTTACTATTGGGAAAGTTGATTGCTTGGTAGACTAAATACAGCAAGATACCAACATGAGTTTGTCACAAGAACCCTGTGAAAATCAACTCATTATACATGCAAAAAAGACAAGAATCACGTGACTTTGTTCACATCCCTATTTCTTTCTCTTTTACAAAAGAAAAGCTTTAACAAAACATTGTGAAACTCCATTTTTGGTTAAATTGTTCTGCTCATGTTGAAGATGACTGATAATATTGTCCATAATTCCATGCATTTGAGTAGTTGTACTAAAGGGGAGAAAATGAGGAAAGTTAATACCTTATATAGTTAACACTGTCCTATAAACTCCAGTATTACCCAGTGTGAAGTAGCTGAACAATTATTAAAATAACTTGAAAGTTGAAATTCTCAAGGTGTAAAATATACAGGTAGTCCTTGCTTAACAATGGTAATTGGGACCAGCAACTTGGTTGTGAAACATGTCATGCAACTGTACCGACTTACCATGGCAGTTGTGATAGTTCTAGTTGCCATCAGGCAAATCCCATGTGGTCACAGCATCTTGCAGTCACATGATCACCATTTGCAACCTCCTGCCGGCTTCCCATTGACTTTGCTTGTCAGAAGCTGGCAGTGAAGGTTGCAAATGGTGATTACATGACTGCGGGACACGACCATTGTAATTGCACACTGGTTGCTAACCACCCAAACTGCAACTTCAAGGAACAGCCATAAGCTCCCCGTTCAGCATGTATATAAACCCACTCTTACAGTACTATTAAACTGGGATACTATACAACCTATTTTTAAAATTAAATAGTTTCACTAGCTGAGACACAGAATTTGGTCTGAAAGCTTCCAGACAAATGATGCTCACCTGATACCAGGCACTGTAATTGTAGGCTGCCTGATTTGCTTGCATATCTCCATCTGTTACTTGTCCAGATATAAGGCCTGCTTCATCACCGTGAATTCGTTTCTCATCAGGTTCTTCACAGCTGCAAGAATAGTTTGTGTCATTTCTTTATGGAACAGAACCCTTTCAGAAATTCTTGAATTTTTTTCCAGCTACTATATGTATGAAAGGAAATGCTGTACTTTCCTGCAAATGTTGAACTAAGCCATACATTTCCTATCAAATTGTAACTGGAAAGTACAGTCATTTTAATTAAAATTTAACCTCTCAGTGGAGAGTACCCAAATGCTGATGTTGAATAGAAAGGATGCTTTTTGATTGTGACATCTGCAGAACATCTGTATTCCTATGCAGGCTTGTTTGGTACAACATCCAAAGTTTCTTCAGAGTGTTATAGCATTACTGAAAATGAAATTTCCTTTCCTTGTTACCCTGTTTTTTCTAGAATGGTTTTTGCAGTCATGTTTGGGTAAAAACTGGAGTTGTCTTTTAGTTTTTAATACATGTTGTTTTAAACTGAAGGCTGGAATTCAATATCCTAGGCAACACATATAAACTTTGTACAGTATACATGCAGCATTTAAGTCTTAAACTGTTCCTTAGTTTTTCTTCAACAGAATAAGTCATTATCATAATGAAATTATGGGAGGCCTTTTGAGCTGCATATTTAATCTTAAATGACATCTGCAAGGCCTCAATTACCATTTTTTCCTTCAATAGAATTAAAGATTGTATACATAAACGGCATACAAATAGTATTTTACTACTATCTATACATTTATTTACTTAGATTTCACTGAAGTGTGGGCTCTTCTACTCTATGTCAAAAATGGTTTTAGGGATCTCCCTGAACACGTGAAGGAAAAAGGTACCTATTCTTCTTGCTCATGTTTTCTGGAAAGGTATTGTGCCCTCAACATACACATCATTTGCATTTTAACAGCTCAGACATATGGTACCAACTTTAGTAAGGATTCAAAAATATAACAGCAAATAATTACATCCATATTTCAAAAAGCAATCAGGTACTCTTAGCTAAAATTAAAGTGTGTGTACCCATTCTCTGCTTTCCTTTTTAAACATTCTTGTTCCTTTAGAAGGGCTTGATGTTCTTCATAAGCATCCAAAAGCCTGCCAAAAAGGAAAAAAGGAAAGTTTCAACTGTGTGAAATTCCTGCTCCAGATATTTTCTGCAACAGATATAACACCAAACACTAATGTTCTGCATACTGCTTTTGCTCCACAGTTGGTATTTCTTGCTGTCCCTCAATATAGTTGGTTTTTGAAATGTACTATTGCAGTCAGAGTAAAATTGAAAATAGAACAATTATAGGGTTGGAATTTCTGGGGAAATTTATAAAGAATAAGCTTGATCATCTTGACTCTTGTAGCCTACAAGTCATTCATGGATCCAAAAGTCAAAGGCTACCACCACTAAAAGTAAATCTCACTTGTTCACATCCAGGCCAAAGTCTTCAAGAAATTCCACTTTTCGCTGAGAAAATATAATCCTCATTTTTATAGGCAATGTTCCATTGATAGCTCTGTCAAAACATAAAATGATGTTCTCCTCATTCTGCTTTAGATCTCCACTGTACTCTATTTCCAACAAATTGAGATACAGTTTTGGATTATCCTGTGCAAAACACAACACAATTCAAAATGAATTAAGTTTCCAAGTGATTATCCACTGTCATTTAAGAATGGCCTGGTTTGTATATAACAGTTAAACGGTATTTTTAATCTACAGGTTTCCTCAAACTTCTAAATGTACACAGGTAACAAACTTTGGCAATAAAACTGGAAGCACGGTTTGAATCCTGACTTACTATGTATGAGGATCCTGAGTAACTCTTGGGGTTTTTAAAAGTTTCTCGTTACCACAAATAGAAATTGACAGATACCTAGATTACTTTGCTTAATTGAAAAACTGGCTGAATTCATACATCTTATTAAATTCTATACTGCCCAACTCCCGGCAACTCTGGGCAGTTCACAAATTTTTTTTAAAAAAACAAAATCAATACAATAATAAAAACAAGGAAAAAAGGATGGCAAAAAACAGGCAACAACCAAGCCCTCACTATCCAGAAGGGGACTTTAATCCCTCTTGCCAGACAGGTCTTCAAGGCCCTCCGAAATGCCAGCAGGATGGGAACCTTTATAAGGCTGGGCCCTATTTTGTGCTATGTAAATCCAGGCATAGGCTGCAACCATGATTTGCAACATTATATAAATTCAGTCACTGGTTTTTCAGTAAACTATGGCTTAGTATATGTAAACTCAGCCAACGTCTGAGTTACGTAAATCCATTGGCTGTGCTCCTTGTGGAACTATAGACCAAAATGTCTGCTCTGTTGCTGAAGGTTTCCTGCCTGACTTAAAATCCTGCATAATTTGGACTCTAAGCCTAAACTTACACACAGAGCAGGCTCCCTAGTTCAGTTTCTCCAGTGTGTGGAAGGAGACAGATCAGATGCCAAGGCGGCTATGGAAGGGTACATAGAGCTCGTGCAGTCCTATGCTTCTTACTAAGTGAAATCACTGGAGAATCTAGTGCAAGACGACAGCTCATTAGCTCTTTCTGTGAATATTGCACAAACCTTTTTACAACAGGTTTCAAATTACAGCAACAAACTGAGGCCAAAATAATAGGTGTGCTAATAGTATGAACACTTTTTGACAGTTGAGCCAATCCTTTGGGAATATGTAACATAAACCCTTTATTGTACTTCTTTAAGGAAATGATCAGCAATTTTACAATCCCTAGAAAATTACATGGCTCAACTAGTCAGAATATCCTCTAGGAAAATGACACATACAGGAAAGCCTTCCCTATTCACATTATAAATATACATTTGCAAGAACTGGTTGCAAGTCAAATCAAAACATAGTTATTGTAAACTGTCCAGTCATATTGTAAACTGTCCAGAGTAATTTCCTCGTGAGATGGGCAGTGGCTAAATTTGAAATATAAAATAAATAAATAAATAGTACATGTTGAAGATGCAAGGCCTTGGAAGCTTGTATGCTTTGTCCATACATTGCCATATGTATTGGGGCATCTGAATGGAACCTTGCAGATTAAACAAAAATCCATGATATTCAACATTCTTCTCTAAAGAAAAATATCAGAGAAGCTACCTCAAATATACCCTCATGTAACGGCATCTGTGTTTCGGATAATCTCACTCTCCCGGAAACGTTTTCTGCTACCATGTGGATAACTTTGCATTTTTCATTTAGAAATCTGCATTGCTTATTTTGAACACAACTAGTTCAGGTATTGTGGTCTACCATTTCTGGCCACATCATACCACCAAGATATGGTATCACTATACTTTCAATGCCAGGTAGTTACCAGACCAGAATATTTTTCTTTGGAAGGGAAGCCTGAAATTTAGGGAGGCACTACAGGTATGGTAAGCCAAGCAACATCAGGTTAGAGGGACTGTTGTCTCCATACAGCAGCTATGTGCATTGCAGAGTTAAAAGGAATCATCACAGTTGCCAGCTATAATTACTTCTTCCTAAGATAAGACAAAGAGATGAACTGTCAGGAAATTACATACCCTGTCTCTATCAATGGCCTCCAAAAGAACTTTCCTGGCTTTTGGAAGATTCTTCTGAATTTTGAAAAGGTGCCGAGCAAGTTTTACAGCAAAGAAAGAGGCTTCGTAGTTTGATTTGGCATTTTTCACAGCTTCCTGAAGCAGGTGCTCGGCCTCCTCCATGTTTCCATGTCTCCGTTCTAAACTAACTCTTCGTAAACGAATCATGGCCAATCCTGAAACGTTCTCTTCAAAGATCTTCAGAATTCTTCTGGCTTCATTGATGTTCCCTAAAAGTAGGAGAGAAAGTATGTGTGGACTAGGAACTGCAAACTGACTTGAGCCCATCAAATCTTTTAGGATATCTCCCCATCCCTACATCAATATTAAGCTTTGTCCTTTCATTCATGATTTGGGATATTATGTCATGCATATTGGATTTTCAGCAGTCAAGAATCTCTGCTTCACAGAACTACAGGGGATCAGAAAGAGATGCAAATTAAGGAAAGAATAGGCACTCCAATTTAGTATCAACACAGAACCTCACTTCATTTGTGCTAGTTTCAAAAATCTAATGACAGAAGTAGCCTTAATTGAAACAGGCTCTTCTGAGCAGCTGAGCAGTGAACTTTCCATGCAGCTCCTTTTTCTACCCTGAACAGAGGGCATCCTTGCCTGGGTTGCTCCTACCATTGGCTTTGGCAGGCAGAACCAAAGAATTTTTTTCTCCCACTAATAATAATAGAGAACAATTCCTAGCAAATTTAAAGAAAATATGCCTTCAAGCTAAGCTTGATTTCTGGTGAGTGCATCTATGTACTTTTCTTGACACTGATAACAAAAATAATTTGCTGCTACCATATGCTACAATGTGTTTGTTAACTTCATAACCTAACCAAGAGCCCTGAAATTTCCAGACAGTTCTCCATCCAACCATACTGATCTTGTTTAGCTTCTGAGATCAGCCAAGATATGCTAGACCTCCCACATCATCCTGAGGTTAGATATTGGCAAGCAATGGAGTAGGAGATGCATAGGCTTAAAGGAAGAACTATAGATACAAGGAATAAAAAAATCTTCCATTCAGTAAAAAATTAATGAGGAAATGATGCCCTCTATTCATAGTAGAAAAAGGAACTTCATAGTAAGTCCAATGTTCCATTTTCCTACACTGCCTGGAGAGCAGCCTTAAGCAGCACTGGAGAACTCTCAAAAGTTGGGAGCTACTTGTTTGACAGAACTCTGAATGTGGTTCTGCTTCACACAGGACTTTTCTTTTGTAGGAGGCTTCACCTTAGACCTATGAATTAAAACTGTAGTGTCGCAATAAAGAATTGATGGAGGACCATGTTGTCAACCTGCACATGTTGTTCAGTAGCACCTTGGTAGAAAAAGCAACAAGCTGGCTACATGCCTTGTAGAACTTGCTGTGATATCTGTTGGGGCATCCTTTTATCAATGAGCTATGCAGGTTCAGATTCACCTGGTGGTCACAGAGGGTACCTCATAGCCAAAGACAAGTGACTGGAAGGATGGTGCAAGTCCTTAGTTCTTTTGAGGTAAAGACTGATTGCTCTCCAGATGTACAACCTGTACTACTGCTTCTGTGGTAGCCCAGAAGATTTAGAGGAAGGCAAAGAGCTATGTGGAATACAGAATGTGCCTTGGACATGAATGTGGGATCTCTATGGAGGACCACGGATTATAGAAAGACCTGTTTGAAATTATGGCCATGAGGAAAACCATTTTCCAAAAAACACATTTACTAAGCAGAGTAGTTTAAAAGACCAGTACACCAGAGTTGCATGGCTATGAACAGTTAAGTTAATCCTGAGAATCTAACAGGACTGAAGCCACCACTAAAACCTATGTTCTAACATGGTGGGTCAAGGTAAATGATTGATACCCACTTACAAAAAGGAAAGTATCCCAAGAAATGGTCTTTGTGCCACTTCCCTTTTCTCCTTCATAGAAGCAGTAATACAGGTTGTACATCTGGAGAGCAATCAGTCTCTACCTCAGAAGAACTAAGGACTGGCACCACCTTCTAGTCACTTGTCTTTGGCTATGAGGTATGGCAGAAAATAAGCCAGGTGGTTTCAAGTATCTGGAATACTGATGCTCCATGGGAGGCCACAGTGGTCTGGATGGAGACTGAGTCACAGTTTAGGGTCTACAAGAACTGTTTATTTCCAGATGTGCAGTTGTAACCAGCTCAAGTCTGAATGAAGCTGGTTCTCTGGCTGAGAAGATTTGATCTGAATGGAGGATACAAGACTGCAAAACCAATGCCAAGCACAAGGTCTTCTAGGACACAGAATGCTACTAAAATGACTCTCTTTTCCATGTATGCCTTGTACAGAACACTAGCCAGCAAAGAGAGTGGTGGAAAAGCAAAAAAAAAAAAAAAAAAAGACTCTTCAGCCATTTAATTTTCAGCCTAGGGCTACTTTCATAGAAATGCAAGTTAAATTGGTTTATCTTGCAGTTGGCTCCTAATACAAAGTGGACTACTTATAGGAGGCTCCAAATCTCATAGTAATCTCAGGAATTACTTGTAGATAAAGTTTCTGTTCTCCCAAATCCACAACTGGCTGAGCTGGTTCACTATCAAAATGAAGGAATGTGTGAGATAGTAAATGAAGTTACAATTCTTCTAGCATCTTTGCGAATCCAATGTGGAAAGCAGTGTATCAAACTTTTCAATCAAATATTCAAATTTCACAAATGTCTACTGGGATGAATGAATGAGCATATGTTAAATACAGGATTTGAGGATTCAGGCACGCTAGCCAGTCCAAGGGATAACTTGAAGGGTGGGAACTACTTGCTGAGCAGGGTAGGCCTTAAGGTCCCCAGCTGGAAGTTGCAGTATTGAGCCATTTGCAATTAAGAACTTTCCAATCCCCATTCTACTAAAAGAGTATTAAAAGAAGATTGAATATCACATTAAAAATAAACCTGCCAAAAGAACCAGTTCTATAACCCTGAGGTCAAGCTGTTGATAAATGTCTGGATGTGCTTCTTCATCTGGTGTGACCTGGGAGAAACTTAAAACAGTTATGAGGTGTGTCTTGAAACCCTATGCTGTATCCAGAGGAAACAGTGTGAATCATCCAAGTGCCTATGGTGGTAAGGGCTAATTGCTCAGTGAATAGATGAAGCCTGACCTCTACTGGCAAACCTTGTTTCTTGGGGCCCTATTGTGCATGGTGGAGAAAGGTAGCCCCAGGGCATCTACTGCTTTAGATAGTGGTTTGGTTTGGTTTCTTTAGAAGTCTGGTTCTAGTTGAGGATAGAAAAGACAAAAGGATTGAGGTGGGCTCATGGTGGTGGCCAGAAGGGAATTCTTTTTTTCCTTGGTTTCAATTATGAACTTCTCAAGAGGCTCCCCAAAGAGCCTGCCACTCTCAAAGCCACTGAAGGCTAGTACTGCCTTGAATTTAGTATCTTAAGTTCAAGGTCTCTAGAGATAGATGTCTGCACGTAGCTATATTGGCAGATGTGTCCTGCCCAAGAACTGCAATAAATCTAGGCTGCAATCAGCTGTGAAGACCAGAGTCAGATTATTAAAGCCTTGGTGGACCAACAACAGTTCTATGGGGTTGTGCTTTAAAAGCTGCTCGGACCATGGAAACACTGCTCAGGCAAATAGGGATGTGGTAATTGCTGCCTTGATTATTGAAGCACTGGCCCTTGTGAACTTTCTAAAAGATCATTATGTTTGCCAGGATGTCTGGAACATCTCCATCTTTTGAGATCATGGCCTCTAAGATGGCTGCTTAGGCATCCACTAGTGGGGCCCTTAAAAGGAAAAAACAGAGCAAAAAGGAAGTTAGCAGAAAACTCCCATTACAACCTTACAAAGCAATGAGTTCGACCTGCTTAATGGCAACAAGTGCTATTAACTATCATCTAAGGGCTGTAAAAAATCTTGTTCACCTGCTTGCATGAAAGGAGCAAGCCCTAGGGGGGAAAAACATTACTCAACGGCCTAGCAGAAGTTAAAATTTTTCAACTCTTCCTGACCTTTCTGCTCAGTGTGCAGAAGACAGGATCAGGAATTTCATTTTAATGGAGCTGATGAGTGGTGATTACAAATAATGGTTGGTAACCCACTTAGGTGTTTGCATTATCCAAAGACAGATGCAAACAAAAGATAAAGGTGTGCACTGCTGGCTACATTATTTATTTGTCAAAAAATAATCATCCTTTATATAATCTCTTCTTCCTTGATTTGAACCACTTCCCAACAACAAAGAGCGTAAGTTACAATGGGAAGTCTCAGAAAAATGTGACTGTTTAACTTAATTGCTGCAAATCATGAACAATCTTTAGCAGGAACTTTGAGAAAAGGTTGGTTTGCAAGACTCTAGAAAAGTGCTACACTCAGGAAAAATACTATTATGTAGACATATGCAAACTATTCTATGCATGTACCATTCCATGCACAGATCAGTCCACATCAGGTACTCTGTACCTGGACCAAGGCACAGACCCAGAATATGTGCAGTACATCAAACTGCTGGAATTATCTTATGTTGATAACTTTTTCCCACTGCTGGCATCCCACATTTCTTTTCTTTTTTCAAAAAAGGGAGGGGGTGTCACATACTGCCCATGACACTGGAATGTTATTGGTTCCCCCAAATGAATTCACACAGCTGAGAAAAATCAAATTAAAGTAGTTCTAAGAACTACCCCAAATCTCATGCAATACATCAGATATCTCAAATATCTTTTTGCTTGTTTTTGTGCCTTCGAGCCAGTTTTTGACTCCTGGCAAATGTCTGGACTAGTAGTATCTCCAAAATCTGCCTTGTTCAATTTTGGGCAATGAGAAAGGGGAGGGGAGAGGAGAGGAGGGGAGGGGAATTATGCGATTAGACCCAGAATCTAAAAAGATTAATGAGCCAATTCAAGAGAGACACATATGCCCGCTATCTGCTCACCTTGCTGTTCTTCAAAAGCAGCCCAGAGCAAGTGCACCATCGGTTTCTTCGAGAGGTGTATCGTGCAGGCCCGGCTGTATACGTGCCTCACCCCTTCAATGCTGTGGTTCTCCATGTACTTGGCATACTGCATTTGAAGACAGAGCAGAAACTGAATGATTCCTAGCTTACTCTGGGTTGCTAAATACTTGAGAGAACTGTAAAATTCTTGTGTTTTAAACCCATTCAGCACCTTTATTGAACCATTAGACTAGTTTCTGTAAGGAAGGACGAAGAGAGGCAACGAAGTTGGCATATGCAGCTGTCAAATCTGGTTGCAAGCAGACCATCTCCTAATGCAACAGATATAGTTATACATGAACAACATTCAAACAAGAGTACAGAAGGTTAGTCACTGATCATCAATGTTTGCAAAGAGTAGAACTGGCATAGGAGCAACGCCCCTTACCTTGATCCAGAATTCTTCATAGAGAGCACAGGAGATCACACAACGCTCAAAAAGAACCACTACTCGTTCATGAGTTCCGTTCTCAATCTCGAAGTCCAAATACTCCTTCCAGTTCTTCAGCTGCGTTTTTTCCAGAGGCTTAACATGAAAATAAGGTCGTTTTATCTGAATTGGACATGAAAACATACTTCATTTTACATTTTGCTCTTTACAGATATAAACAACCTGAATTATCTACTGTCCCTCAGCAAACCCTATTTATTTTGTTCCCATCCAGTTTTTGTCATCTTTGCCATCTTTATTCTTTTTTGTCTCTTATTATTTTAAACCACCCAGAGTCTCTGGGAGTTAGGCATATAAATTTAATACATTTTAAAATTGTTGTTGTTGTTGTTGTTATCAGTCTTGTATATTATACTCAACTATTGCTTGTTTGGATATGTTATATCCAAATATAACCAGTTTGGACATAGCTTTCTAAAAATGAAAAGAACAGCAAGAACCAAAACAAAATACTACGTCAAGCAAACACTTGGCTCCTGGACATGTGTTGATTTTCAGAAGTAGACTGTAAGAATCTGCAAGGTGGTCAGTTCTAAGAATGCACTATACCAGCTTGTAGACAAGAAAGGGAGTCACTTAGAAATACAGTGGTACCTCGGGTTACGAACAGCTCTACTAACGAACATTTCGGGTTACGACCAACTCGGAATACGTCCAGAGTCACGGAATGGATTAAGTTCGTATCCCGAGGTACCACTGTAAAAAGGCCCATGTAGACTCAACATAATCGTTATGTCTAATTAATCTAAGAAGATTGTATATAATGGCAAGACTATAAAAACTCTAGCTTTACAGAAAAAGAAAAAAACCCTTCTACAGGACGATATATGCCCAAATTCCTCTACTTCATCTTGTTTCATGCTTATTTTAGCCTAACCAAATATTCTGACAGTCAGTCAGAATTCTTTTCTTCCTTGAACTTGTTCTATGGTAACAAAATCCCCATTAGACATAAAGCAGTTGGATATTACAAAAGAAAAGCAGCATGCAAAGAGACATCAAATAAATAAAATATGCTTGCTGTATGACCTTGGCTTAGTAACTCAGCACACACAACTGCTAGTATAATTGAGGAGCAAGAGAAACAGAAAAAATGTTGGACACTGAAGGATACAATTAAAAAAAAATTGTGCAAATAATAAAGTATAACGATTCAAGAACAGCCTTAAACTTGTCTTTACTGTAATTTTAAATATTATTTTAAGTAAAATATTGCTTACTAAAATAAAGTCATTAATTAAAATATGCTGACTGCAGTAGAACCACTGTAAAGGGAGTACAACAGGATTTGGAACCACGCCTAAGTTACTCAAAATTATCTACATTTATAGTATTTACTTGCTCTGACTCACCCATTTTGAGTGACCTGTCAGGCTGCAATGGATCCCATTTAACTGAAACT